AGTTTCGCCAGCTCTTTCACCTCGGCTACGTTGACTAAATAAAATCTCTATTTCTTCGAACAGAGTGTGAGACCGCATCAGTTACAAATAATTTCCGACAGGGATGACATTAACCTTATGTCTAATATCAGAACAATGAGATACATCGGCTTCATCGATATATCATATAACCAACAATACACTGACATTCGATCAAAGACAACATTGTGCTCCATGAAATGCACAAAAGTGTGGAGGTAACGACAAGAGAGCTTGGCATTGTCGATGAGACACAACACAAAGAGTTACTGTCAAGCAGTCAAGCGAACTCAATCCAAAGAGACTGTGATAATGCAACACCTGAGATCTCATTGAAGAATCGAGTAGAGAGTGCCTCTATTATACTATGAGTTGAAGTCGACCTAGTAGAATAACGACGCTGAGAAGTTCAGGAGTGTCTGAGTTTGACAAAACACGAAACGTTCAACCTCGGTCTCCTGATAAACATGCTAATGCAGCATGACTTATAGCAATTTGACATATTGCGTTGATTTCACGCAGCAGAATATGTCAATATAAAGAAACGATTCCAAATCAAGCTTTTCACTGAGACAGTTCATAGCGTGTCGACGATATAACTTCTACTGTATGGCGCCACCAAAAATTCACTTCCACCAGATGTCAACGAAATATTAGTGAGCAGAAATCGGTATGCAAAACAAGGTGAATACGAGAATATGTATATTTTTATCATTACATCACATTGTACAGGTAAAAATAATCAGAATCAATGTTTACATACATTGCAATACATACAATACATAAACAGGTGATGCAATTCCCTGCCTCGCTGACTACTTCCCCAATCGAAGCATTGCCATTGAACCTATTGGTAAAATTGAAGAAACGAAAGACATTGGAAACACATTATACAGAACAAATTCATATCTTAAGTCGTTAGTCTGTTGGTTAGTTACTTGAGCTCGAATCACTCACGTTTGTCAATTGGTAGAGATTGGTGTGCCACAGCGGCGAACACTGTGATCAACTGGATGAGGAAGATGACAACACCGGTGACCAATCTAGATCGTAGACTCTTTCACTGCATTCTCACTTCTCTGGATACTGATTGTCACAGTGTAATATAGCATCGTCTCCACTCCACTGTATTTATGGCAATCCACCACGCATTCACGTTAACACAGAGACATATATCACATTTGGGTTACTGTAATGAGATAGGTGGAGACTATTGAAACCGATTAGCACAACTCTCCACGATTTGAACTCCACCAATCAAGTCACCGTCATTCTCACCAATTGTAAATGAGATTGCAAAGCGTATTTCTATTGGTCAAATATTCTCATCGTGAATTTGAATGACACTATCTGAAAAATTTGGTAGCTTGAGGCGTATTAAGGATGGTAAGAATATCACTGGATGCTTGACCATGTTGATCTCTGTTGAGCGCATGCGCGGTTCACACTGTGTGTCAATATTCGAGCAGGCGCAGCCGACTTGAGATTTCTTAACATCAGTTTCCACATATTTACCAAAAAATATTCTCCAGATATCTGCTAATTGAGTGCTTGTTGAGGAAGTCATATACGAGTATCGTTAGTTTATGGCGACCACAAAATTCTTATGCGTGTGATAGTGATTAATGAATTTGTACGTTCACACATGGCAATACATGCACTCAAGCCATGAATATAATTCTCGCTTTTCATTGTTCGATTCATACACATTGAAAGTTCTTGACTGTGTTGTTAATATCAGTATCAAAGTAGAGAATTTGTTACTTGATGCGAATATATGATTTATCAAGGTGTATTTGAAATGATGTTTTCTCGGCGTGACGAATTCATTCAGTCTGAGGAATTCAGTGTCATCGTATGGTGACATATTACGTCACGCTCAAAACACTATTGGTGAATCATCTCGTCTCAACAGCACTTTTCTCTCATCTTTTATTCTCCTATTTGTAAATTCATCATCGGGTTTTAAACAGAGATGAATTAGTGTTGTGAAGTGAAACGTGGATGCCCATCTTTTCATTCTGTGTGTATTAATCAAACGACAACATGTCACATGCATATACTGAACATGTTGTGCGTGAGCATTATTCACTGATTTATACAACACAAGATATAACACATTCTCTTTATGCATTAGTACATTTAATAGAATACTCCTCACTTGAACTGGTATTAATGAATCGTTAGTTAAGGTCAGTGTGGAGAGAGATGCAGAAAGAGAGATAAAGACAGACTGATACATAGAAATATGTGTGACGTGCATGGAATCCCTAAAGTGAGAAATGAACTGTTTGCTTTCTGTGTGACTTTGTTCTGAGCTGCGACGGATATATTGTGAAAGAATATCATTTTATCATTACAATATATTGACTACAATTCACTGAAGAGAATAATGTGTGTGCGGATGGAATTCACGTGCATTTTGTGGGAATACTTGTTGAAATTTCTTTGCGTTCCGCGATAAACATGCCGCCTCCAGGTTCATGTGCAAAGTTTAATTAGTGGTGATTTTGATATTACGCTGTTGGCTTTCCAGCTCCACGATCAGCCTTCCTTCTTTAAACGTCTCACTATCGGCCAGTTTGAAGTAGTCGTAGGTTAGTTTTCTCGTATTTTTTTGGGAATAGCTGGTGAATATTTCGTGTTTGAAGAGTGTTGTTGCCTGTCCTACTTCCTACATTCCTTCATTTTTCCAGATCATCATCAAACAGCGAAATAGTTGTGGTAAAGCAATGACTACTAAATGATTATTATTAGTGTCCCCTTGCTTTGAGAGGGGAACATAGGGCCCCAAGAACACATCTCCACTTAGTCCTGTCTTCTGCAATCCTCTTTAATTGAGTCCACGCTTTACCAGACTCTCTCACCTCATCCTTACATGATCTCCTCCATGTTGGTGAAACCGGTCACAGAATGATAACTAGAAATATGTGGCTGACAATAATATGATTTCCGGCTTACATCTGAAAATCCTGTCCTTCTTATTTCATGATAATCTGTGTCATTAACATGTCCAATCAGGCAAGCGTCCTCCACGCAGATATTGTGTTACTATATTCAATTTAAAATGACAATTACAGTGAAGAAAACGTTTTTTCAACGAAGTCATCATCTAGGCTGTACATTCGTGTATTTATGTCAAATGGATGGGAAAGTTCCAGAACAATTTCCGGTTCAGGGTTAAATTAATAGAAATTACAATAAGGAATTAGAATGCCATAATAAACAGGGGGACGGATAAAACTCAAACAAAGTAGCATCATGATAACTAAGAGGATTGACATTGTGCAGTTGGTGGTTAGAAATGTAGAAATAACAAAAGTAGACGGGATGTTTGCATAAAAAGAACTAATGTGATGGATAATTGTTTGCGCAATCAAGGATTAAATATGTAGAAATAGTAAAATGCGAAAATAAACACGAAGTTCGGATATGAAAATATGGTAGTGTAAACAGGGATTAAGAAAACCTAAAATAACATGAATAAACAAGAAGCTTAGATAAGAAAGGCAATAGGATGGTCATTCCTAAAAAACATTTACCTGTTTTTGATGTCCATGGCAGGGACAAGGGTTGCACATATTTCTTTTGGATACAAAGCGTGGGTTTGAACTTTTGGATAGCTAGCGCCTCAGCTATGCCCAGATGTCTTGATTTCACTCCCTTTGATAAGTTTAATTGAATCTTGCAGAATAATTTGAAGGTGTTTTCGAAAGGCACTGAATGTCCGGAATTGACCAGATGTTCTGCAACTCGACTGTGTACACGTTTTTACTAGCCAGGCTGAGTAGGGTTCACGAACGCGTTTTTCAAGTCGGTGCATGTACGACCGATGTACTCAATTTAACTAGACTCATCATGTAGTGCAAGCGGAAGAACGTGGGATTTGTTCGCTTCGAGTTTGGCATATTTCTCCATGGAAAGGCATTCAATCAGGCAACGTTGAGCGTTCACAATTTTATTTGCTAATTACCGAAAACTTTTATTACCGTAAAAACTTATGCAAAGAGTTTGCGGAAATTATCACAATTATTAACCTTTCGAACACTGAATCCAAAAAATACAATCTTATTGACAGATAATACACATAACCCACTGTTTGGATTTGTGGAATTTTTAAACATAAACACATCTATAATTGTAAATATTGTTGGATTTATATGTTCAAGTTGCTCCAAGTCAGTGAGTTTATGGTTAAGATATCATTTTAGTTAATTGTACTGAACTATATTGCATGTTGTTATATTGTATAGTTGTCGTCGCTTTTTGCCCTTTTTCTGTGAACTGTTTCCTTTGTTGATGTTGTTCTCATTGTTTGTCCGTTATTTTCTGATTTTGAGGGGAGCAACCCAAAAAGTTGCTGCTCTCTAAACTTTTACTTAATGTAATCATTCTTTTCTCAGGCGTGAGGCTAGCAACCCCACCCTGTAAACAAAAATTGCTAAAGAAACTTCAGTATGATGAACCTCCTTGCACCAAAAGAAAAAGTCTGTGTAGGAACATGGAACGTCCGAACTATGTACGAGACTGGTGTCCTTATACTTGTCAGGCTGGGTAGGATTTACGAACGCGTTTTTCAAGTCGGCGCATGGTACGGCCAATGTACCCAATTTAACTAGACTCACGATGTAGTGCAAAACGAAGAACCTGAGATTTGTTCCCTTCGAGTTTGGCATATTTCTCCATGGAAAGGCATTCAATCAGGCAATGCTGAGCGTCCACAATTTCAATTGCTAATTACTGATATCTGTTCATAGCCTCCATAAAACCTATATGTACACACAAAATCTCATGTCATTTCAATGTCATCTTCCCGGAATTCATTTATTCATTCATTCTTGTAACTATTCACGTGTAAAATTCCATGCGAACGTTTAATCCTGTTCCTGGTTGCATTAGTTAAAATTCACTCACACACACACACACCAACTTTGTGAACAGAAGAACACATTCTCTATTTCACCGCTTGACTGCATCTCCTGATGGTTCCCATGAAAGACAATAGAAACACGGAGTTGGTGGAAATGCATGTTCGTTTGGGTTTCCAGGATCTAAACGGACTATTTCAGAGTGAATGCAGAAATGAGAATACGAGTTTCCACAGATCATTATCTTCTATCCTTATCTTCATCTGCCTCTCAACTCTGTCAACCAATGTGTGATTATATGTTCACTGTGCCTATTCTCAGCTAATTTGTTTTGCAGGCATTAGACATCACTTAGTCTACTATAACAGTTGACGTGAATTAAATCATATCACCGTCCTTGCTTGTCATCAGTCGCAGCATTGAGCAGATCAACTTATTGTGGTCTGAATAGAGACCATAATGAATTATTATCTCTGTCTTCCTTGTTTGCTCTCACGGATCACCACAACCTCGGAATTCGCCTTCCAATTGTCTGAAATATGAAACCGAATAATTTGCTTTTCACTTGACGGCCTCATCTACTTCATCACTTGAAGATATGACTGTCACTAGACATTTCCTTCGGAATATGTTCTGGTTGAAATAAGCTTGGTGACTCCATCATTCATTGCTTCAATGACCAAATATTCGAAAGGTGATTTGTTGCAGACCATCAAAGTGAAAAGTGTCGAGTGAAGTTTCAACAACGCTGAATCATATCCAAAACACCCTCAAGTTATATTTTAAAAGCACAGCTAATGTTTTTTTTGATTGCAGCTTGGTTCCACACAGTATTTTTGGTACAAGTATGGGATTTTCATCATGAGATATCGGTAGCCCAAATTTCGTAGGCCGACCATAGATATAAGGTGCGCGTCGGCAGGGGATCGAACCTCGGACGATGTGCATAGTCGGCGAGAGTTCTAAGCATTGTGTCACCGACGCACATATAATATACACTGAATTTATCCGAAATTGTCTTTTATTGTCAGGAATGTCGACAGCTTCATGGTACAGACCACCGTGTCACAACAATCTGTCATTGCATTGAAATGATGGTTCCAGTCAATAAATCATCTCTCGAATAGCCAAATTTCTTCCTCTTCTTACTTCAATTTTATGCTAGTGACAGAAAGACAGCACGTTTTATGATACAAAGACGTCTTTGTAATTTGGACTATTTCCGTTGAGCTGAATACAGATTTTCCTTCCCACTGGTTTCAACTTATCCTGATTGACATATTCATAATTATTCTTCATGCCTGCTTATATAAGCATGTCTCATTGCTGCAGTATAAAATACATTGAAAACCCTGTAAAATTGACCTTCATAAAAATGCGGATCTTTACTACATTTGTCTTCGAAGTTAATCTGAATATTTGGCAAGATAATCGATAATGATCATCAATGCATTATGAGTAGAATTGAATTCTGCAAGCTACTATAAACCGAATAAGTGTGAACACTGAGAGATGCATGCAAGATGACTGTTGTCCACAACCACTTTCATAATCCCACTGATAATTCATTAGTTGCTAATGAGTGATGGATTTATGACATTGTGTTCCACCAGGCATTTTGACGCCACAGAAATCATACGCTGATTTCATTTTTGATACACTCACGTTTTTGATATTAAATACACATTTTGAAAATATAGTCTATGCTCATCAAATTCCACAATTTCAGAAGAATGACAGCAGAAAGCGAGACATGAAAGTCAAAGTATCTTTATCAGTTATCATACCGCTGTTTTCTTTAACCAGTCACTGAGCGTGTGATTTTGATTTACAAGAAACGAGATGAAATAGACCATTGTGAGAATATTTGTGAATCATACTCCGTTAAAACATATTGTATGTATTAAACAAGCACACTCTTGTTGAAAACTGTCACAGTCCGAGTGATTACACTCAACACTCTGTCTTACACTTCTTATCAACTCTTGGATTATCCGAAATCGCTGTCATTATCGAGACAATAGTTAATGACTCCAGAAATTTCAATAGTTTCATTCGTTTCTCCGCATATCAAATAGCGATACCCTAATTTAAATCACCACAGATTCAATTTCTAAATCTTTATGAGAGAAGGATATCTTAGACACAAATTCCACGTATTTGAGAATAGTCTTGGTGTAAAAGACACAGCAAGATTCTCGTTAACCTTCTGTCAGTGATTGACTTCGAAGTACGTGTTGGTATTTCATTCAGTATTTCTGATAATACTCATAATCCGATGAAATTCATCTTAATATGGACTCATTTCATTCGTATTGCCTAACTGAATACCACTAAAATACTCACAGTACAATCACATGTTTCAGCAATATGAATTGTACTTTTGTCAACTGTGAGAAATATCTATTTACAAATGCATGCGCTGTGCTCATTCTAATTAGACTTCTTTTCATTTGAGGACAAGGTTGTTGTTGTTGTTAAGCGAGAGAAAGAGAGGAGAGATTTTCTCATGGTACTTTACTCAAATGTGTAAATAGTTGTTTCCAATATTGATTTCTGAAATACTAGTAGTTTTGCGAAACTCTGTGTAGGCATACACCCTCCTCACTGAAGAATTGTCTCTGAGGCACGTTGGAATCCAGAAAGCTTGACAGAAACACTTTCATTTATATTCGCAGCAGCTGGCCAGTTTTATGTGGAAAATATCTTTGGCCTGCATCAGTATACAAATACGAATATGATTGTTATGTCGATTCATCATGCACACATGTATATTGATGGATCTCAGAGGTAAACGCGGACGACGTGTGATTGAGAAACACATACAAATTCCTTCCGCAGAGTGATGAAAAATGACTCACTCCGTGCACCGTTGAGATTTGCCTCATATGTAATGTTCCTTCTATGTCAGTTTGATGATTAGTTCATTTCGCGACATCTCCATTGAACTGCATATCCCTACTCATCCGCAGCTCATTCCGCCACTGTCCATAAAAATCTGCATACTCCTAAAACCAACGTATTCATGTTTCCGGCACACGTCTTACTCGTCGATTGAAGTTCGCGAAAGTCTCCTCAGAGCCTATCCTTACCTCCTTCTCCATATCAGCTGGACACAGTTTCTTGCCTGACATGTGGCTTTTTGCATAACGTGTTGCTCGACTCATCATTCTGACCAGTTGACCTTCACTATTTAACAAGATGAGGCACTGTCGAAGGCCCACAGCAAGTGCCATGTATGTGATGTATGTAAGAGCACCGACTCGACAGAGGTGTTTGAAATCATTCGGCTGCTGATTCCACTTAACACACGTATTTCAGTGTAATAACCTTTGCTGGACATTATGTTACCCTCTGTGTTGATCGTAGTTGAAAAGATCTTACTGATATCAGAAAGGAAGGAAATGACAACCAACATTCGGATTTCTCATAATGAGGGTGACTGATGTTGGTTGTTGTTCGTATTGTTGTTGATTGATCCTAATCATCACGTCTTTTTTTCTAGTCCTCGCTGGTTTTCCTGATCCCGCTCAAGCTTCCACTGCCATGTCAGTTTTCGCTTTCATGTATGACACATGGAATAAATTTGCGTTGACTGAAGAAGCAAAATTTGTCTATTCGTCTTCTTCCTTCCTCCTGAGTTGAACCTTGCTGTCAGCATTTCGGATTGGAATGATTCTCACTATACGAATACTCTCTATGGTGTTGGTGTTATCATGTTAGCCACATACTCACTGCGGTCACAGTGATAAGGAATCGGTATGCAAAACACAGTGATATAAGAATATTATTATTTATTTATTATCACATCACACTGAACAAAATAATCACAATTAAAATTGTAATCTACCGCACTACAAATAATTACAAATACAGCTGATGCGAATCTCTGCTTCTTTGACTATGCCTACAATCAATGCAACCTAAAACGCCCCCCTGGTGAGATGAAAGAAGACATCAGACAATGAAGGCACTTCATATACAACAAATTCATATCGTTAATAGTTAATTATTTAGTTGAGTGCTGTTGAATTACTCACGTTTGTCAATTGGAACAGTGTCGTGAATCACAGCAGCAAACACTGTGATCACCTGGTTGAGGAAGGTGACGACACCGATGGCCAATCTAGATCGTAGACACTTCGACTGCAATCTCAGTTCTCTGGATACTGATTATCACACTATCACACTCAATCACTTCACTCGACCATATTTATACCATTGAGCCAAGCATCCACTCACACATTCATTCTGACGTGCCACAAAACGGAGACACATATCTCACATCACACGTGTGTGTGTACAATGAGATAAGTGGAGACTGGTGAAATCAATCATCACTGATGCCCACAATTTCAATTTCACTAATCAAATCACCTGCATTCTCACCAATTGTCAATGAGATGGGACTGCGTATTTCCATTGGTCAAATACTGTGATCGTGAAATACCATGATATCGTGTGAATGATGCAGCAGCTAATTGAGAAACACGCTGACATCTGAGTGAGGATGATGCGACAATTATCTGTTTCTTGAATGATGTGATCCCAATACATGTACAGACTCGAAAGCAGAAGCGAAGTCGAGAAACATGCAGCGGACGTATTTGCCACCATTATCTTATGATGAGACGATACTGTTGTGTAAGACGGCTGCAGCGTCTAACGTGCTCCTGCCCTGTCTATATGCAAACTGTTCGGCGTCTTCGAAGTTTTTAAGGGAGGGTTCAAGTTTTGGAGGTACTAGTTTTTCCATAACCTTTAATAATTATACGAAGTCGTCAGTTATTGGCACGAATGTGAATCTTCCTAATGAACATTCGCCCGTATCACATTAATCCATAGTCAGCCTCAAATGATGATTCCTGTCAATAAACCCTATCTCGAGTACACACAAATCGTATTCTCAACACTTTCTGGTGTACGCTGATCACAGAGTGAATGACGCAGAGAGTCCTTTTGAATTTTAACCAACACAGAGATTTTCCTTCAAACTGATTTCAAGTTATCCTGATTGACATCCTCGCACTTGTTCTTCACGCCAACATATAAAGGAATGTTTCATTTATATAGTTGAAATACCCTGGAAATCCTGAAACATTCACTATCAGATTTGTGGGGATTAATACTATATTGTGTATATGACGTTTACCTGAATATTTTGCAAGATAGAGGATAATGGTCACTGGTGCTTTGCAAGTGAAATGGAATTCTGCAATTCTGTGCGTCGCTGGCACAGTGGTTAGGACTCTCGCCGACCTGGTACATGGTCCGGGGTTCGAGCCCAC